ACTACGTAACTACGTACTACTATACTATACTATACTACTACGTACTACGTACGTACGTAGTACGTATATATATATATATATATATATATATATATATATATATATATGTATGTATGTGTGTGTGTGTGTGTGTGTGTGTGTGTGTATAACTATAACGTACACGATACATACCCAGGGATGATAGCCAGTCTCGTTTCGGGAAGACCAAGCTTTGACCGCGGTCCAGCAACACGGAGGTCACAAGCTAGGGCCAACTCTAACCCGCCACCAAGAGCTGCACCGTTAATGCATGCGATTGTGGGCATGGGGAGGTTCTCTATCTCTGTGAATGTCCCTCTGAGTTTATATAGGAACTCTGATACCTCTGTCTCGGACATAGTGGCTCGCTCCTTGAGATCCGCACCAGCGCAGAACACTTTCTCGAGCGCACTCTTGAGCACAACTACGCGTACAGATTGATCGAATCGGATGGCGTCGGCATGCTCCTTGATCTCCTGTAAAAACTTGCGACTGAGCGAATTCATACCCTTTGGCCGATTGAGTGTGAGGACTGTGATACCTGTATGTACGCGATGATAAATAAAATATGTAACTAAACTTGCTTTATTAACAAGTGGTTGGCATATCTGACAGCTATTCCAGAGATAGCTTATTGTCACCCATTACTGGGCTACTATGCCCGACACGAAGATTCTTGTATTTATATAAAAACAGGAGATCGACCAGAAAAGAAAAACAAGTTTTATTAAACCCCCGTCTTTGAAATACTGATAAATTGAGCAAAGGATAACTAAAATTTGGGCAAAAAAAAGGAACAACTATAATTTGAACAAAGTTAGGGGTTACTAAATTCTACAGAGGCGAGTCTTTAATTCCGAGTAGAAATAGAAGTACCGTTGATCTCCCGAAGAAATTTTCCTACGTGATCAGTCAAAAAGCTCATTTGCACAAGGCGACACACACTTGAAACAAATATTGACATAGTGCACCAGAACGATGCCAAAATTTGAGCAGTTGTTCTCACGGGTAACCACAGTTAACCCCTCATGCTTGGACAAGCTGTAATAAAAACTCGAATATCTCATATCAGGGACTCTTAATTAGCACTCGTGCATATACACAATGACAGGGAACATATATGAGACTTAAGTGCAAATAGGGCAATAGCTAGATGTCGGTACCTTCATTTTCTCCCTCAAGATTTTCTCTCTGTACTTCCGCGCCCACACTGCTGTAACTACGATTCCAGACGACACCACAGACACGTGCGCCCATTGGACGCAATCCCGATCGAATTGTACTGATTGCAAGCATCTTGATCACCGTCTGGACTAGAGCTTTAAGGTATTTAGTATCTAAATGTATACTCGAAGTTAGGTGATAGTCTGAAGCTAGTAGAGCTTTAGGTTATATCTATTTATGCTCGAACTTCGAAGCCAGGAGGAGGGAATATGTGCAAAAACAAAATACTGCTCGTCAATAACGTTGTCGCCCAATCAGTTAAGAGCATCAGTATAGAATGCCGGCAAATATCCGCTGTCACTTTGGACTTTTGGAGGGCTATGATATTGATCCGCCCCCCTATAAAATGATTTGAAAAATCAAAAATGATGATTTGTTTTTTCCAAGAGACCTAAAAGCAGTTTTTTTTCCATAAATAGCCTCCTACTTTCGCATTTGTTTTTTAATATTTTTTACAAAATTTTGAGGAAAAAGGACCCCGTCCTGCTATGTGCAAGAGTTGCTGACTTGCTGGCACTCAATGCACAAACTAAAAAAAACCCCCTTGCATCAAGTCTTCTCAGATGCTCAACGGTCAACCTCACTGTCGCCTCAGTACTTCCCCTCTCCCTGCCTCTCTGGTGACAGCAGTGAGTCTGAGACCCTGGCGGGTCTGGGGCTCTTGAGTCTGAGGCCTGAGTCTCTGGGCCAACCTCACCTCGTTTCTCGTTGAAACGTTTTAGAATCCATCAGTTCAACTATATATTACCATCGGGAGACAATCCTTTACGTCGAACGTATTTGCGATTGCGTTTAACGTCCACGGCATGGGTAGTAAACGAATTAAAACGTACAATACTGCTAAATACTTCATACAACAAATACTGCTGTTATGTGTAGAAAAGAGGGTCAATAAATAAACGTGAAGGGAAGCTTCATGATCAGATATTGTATCGATTAGCACACAATGACGAACTTATTTCTAGACCCAAATATCCGTGACTGGGTATTCATCCCCTTGGTATTGGTGATGTTGGCCGTAGGCATACTGCGTGCCAACATCGCGAAGCTAATGGCGTCTGAGAAGAAACCCAAGAAACAAGATATTATTGACAATGGATATTTACAACGAGCACGGATGTTAAGGGCAAATGGACGTCTTATCTCTAAAGAGTCGTTCGCTATGCGCAAGTCGTTCTTCAATCATGAGAGTAAAGGATTTTTTCGTCAGGAGAGAGAGCAAGCCAACCCAAGTATGTTTTTACACGCAACAGCGATACATATATATTACATTCTCCCATGTTGCTCATATATATATATATATATATGTGTGTGTGTGTGTGTGTGTGTGTGTGTGTGTGTGTATGTGTGTGCGTGTGTGCGTGTATACATATAT